AGAACATGCTCGTATACTGGAGGAGAGGAGCATCCGCTTTGAAGCTGAGGTGGGTTTGTTTGTCGGGTTGGTGTTCTAGTGTGACACCAAGTTGTCGTTAGTGATGAAAAGTAGATGGTCATTTAAACTTCCTGTTGTCAGATCTCTCGTCTGGAGAAGGAGAAGGAGGAGCTGGTGGCTCAGTACCAGGGTTCAGACCCACTGCGTGATGGGAAACGAGTGGAGACTCTGCTGAGGGAGAAAGCCCAGCTCCACCTGCGGCTGAAGGGCCTGGAGGCAGAGGTGGCCGAACTTCGCGCCCAGAAAGAGAACTCAGGCCAACAGGCCGAGAACGTCCAGCGCATCCAGATCAGACAGCTAACGGAGTCTCAGGCTGCGGTGAAGTCTCTAGAGGTGAGCCAGCAGCACTCCTGTTATCACCTTACTGGACTCCACTTGTTTAGATTTTTGGTGATTGTTGGATCTGACTGGTTGTTGGTGTGACAGGCGGAGCGTCAGTCGTTGCGTCTGCAGCTGGAACGGATGGATAGCGAGCTTCATCTGAGCCACGAGCAGAACAGCCAGCTCACCGGACGTCTGCACAAAGCTGAGAGAGAGGTCAACGCCCTCTCCTGCCAGGTACACTGCTCTCCGACCTCTGACCTTTTAAAACTGTAGTGTCCTTGTACAAGTCACTACAGAGCACTGTCTGGGCTTCCATGCCAGATTGAAAATTGAAAGTGAAAGGTTTTATTCACCTCAGTGTTTCTTTTGGTCTTAACTGTTTAGATCTGTGTTTCATGAACTTGTGCCTACAATCCAGTCAGACCTGGTTCAGTGTTTAGAGATCATTTCTCAGTACCTACACATGTGGTTTGAAGCTTAAGAAAAGAGTCTAATTTATGTGTTTTTCTGGTTCTCAGATTGAAAGCCTGAAGCATTCACACAAACTGGAGGTGGCCAGCATCAAACTGGAGTGTACCCGCTCTAAAGGGGAGTTGGAGAGGGAGAGAGACACACTGCAGGGGCAGATTGACGGTATGGATCTCACACACACACACACACACACACACACACACACACACACACACACACACACATATCATACTCATATTTATCTCTATATTTCTTTTTTTCTCTCAAACCTCCTTTTGTATGCAGTCCTCCCTGTCCACATCCCTTGGTTTGTTTCCCAAGATCAATTAAGAAATAAGAAATAATATGAACATTTACCAACTGATCCAGACCTTCACAGATTATATGCATCATGTGCCTGTGAACACTTTACAGTGTGTATCAACCTGTTTAACCCCTTGTGTGTCTCAGGTCTGCAGGCGGACGTGGAGGTGCTGAAGGCTGCGGTGGAGCGACACAAGGAAGTTCTCATAGAGAAAGAAAGGGAGGTGGTCAGGAAGGTGCAGTCTGCCCGTGAGGAGGAATTCCGCAAAACTGCCACCTTGCACGAGGAAAAGTAAAAATCCCCTAAAAGCCTAATTTCTGCTACATCTGTGCAGCTAATCTCTGTCTTCTCTCATTGTTTTCCCAGCTGGTGTAAACTTTAATTTGAGAGGTTTTTCTGTTGCTTTATGTTGTTAGGTTGGAGCTGGAGAACCGTATAGCTGCACTGGAACAGCAGAGGGCGCTGCAGGACGCTGCAGACCACGCTCAGAAGGAGGAATGGGAGGAGCGTCTTCATAGCACCCAACATGGAGAGGAGTCAGCCCGCAGGGAGCTGCAGAGCCTGAGGTTCAGGTTTTACTAAATTTACAACTGTTACACCCCTGTCTAGGGGGAAGGAGCGCCACATAAATGTGTGATGAAAATGAACCAATATTCCTACCCCGATTCCCAAACAAACAACTAACACAGTGTTAACAATCAAGTGATGTGATTTATTTACAAACAGGTGAAACAAAGTGCAATAAAAACCAACCAACAAACTTCAGGGTGAACCAAGGCCAAAACAACAAACAAAACAAAACAAAACTTTCTTAAACCAAAAATTCTTCTAATCCCTATTTAATATAAAACAAAATACAGTTACAGTACAAACCTAACTCCCTAACCTAATGAAAAACAGGAGAAAAACAGTACAAAGAAAATGGCAGCTCACCCCTACGATACTCACTATACACAATCATACGAAAACACAATCTAACACTATCCTAACAGTTCACGCTATCTCAAAAACACACACTCTCTACGATTGAGGACAGAAGGATGCTGCTGCTGAGGGTTCTGTCGAAAACTTCTATGCGGTCCGGCGTTTTGAACCCCGGCGGATGTTGCGGCTCCCCGGGAGAACCAATCAGCAGGCAACATGCCACCAGCCGAGCCCACGGCATGGACCAATCAGTGCGGACCCACAGGTTGCCGTCAAAGAACGTGCATTCAACAGGCGACACACTCCTGCAGAGAAATAGAGACAAAGACAACCAACACACACCACAGACGAAAACAATTCCATAACATGATACTTACACTTGTTGCCAGGGCCGTAACAACAACAAGCGAAGATCAACACAGGAAATGAGAGCTTAACTTAAACCCATTTTGTGGTCAATTGCTCGAAATAAATAGGGTCAATATTAGATTTTCCTAGCTTGTGAGAATTTTTATTTTTATTTAGCGACAATGACAGCACAGTTATCTTTAAGTGTATGCTCCACATTTATGCAAGACAAAAGGAGAAATAAAATGAAAGGCAAGAAAAAGAGCTTTTCTTTGTGATGGCATGTCATTTAATCTCTATATTCTTTAAGGAAAACCAGCATTAACCATCATTAATCATTAATGGAACTATTTTGTATCTTACAGAACCAAACTGCAGCAGCAAAGCTCCCAGCTGGAGGAGCTGGAGAGACAGAAAGCAGAGGTCGCTGACCTACAGCAGGTAAGTCAACATCAGCTCCCTCAATCAAAACCATCCATGGGGAGTGCCTGAAATAAATGTGATTTCTGTTTGTGTCAACCAACAGCAGAACCAGGAACTTGGTGTCCAGCTGGGGACACTGTCTCACTCTGAAAGTGAGCTGATGGAGACAAACCAGCGGCTGAGAGAAACACTGGACAGAATGAGGGAGGAGCTGAGGACGGCCCGAGCCCAGGCTGAGAGGGGCCAACACGAGGCAGAGAGGTACGTCCACTGCTCTGTCTTCACATAAACCAGCTAATCTCAACAACACTCTCAATGAAATCACTCTTCTCTTCTCTTTCCATGTGTTGTTCCTCCTGCAGGCTGGTGGAGGACCGGCGGGTGGAGTGGCTGGAGGAGAAACACAAGCTGCAGGAGCGAGAATCTGAGCTGCAGCAGAAATACACTCAGGTCAAAGAGAAACTGCAGAGGGCAGCAGTGGCTCAGAAGAAGGTACTGCCGCTCCCTACAATGTCTTTAAATTTATCAGTTTGTCAAAATGTATCAATACTTCACATTTTATTTCCAAAGAGGCTTGTTTTTGCTGCGTGTTTTCAGAACAGGGTCAGTACAGTGCATTCTGTCTATTTGATGTATGAGTTCACAATCGAGCCAGTAATTATATTTTGGAGTCTCTTTGCTTCCCGTTCATGCTTCATTTTTAACATTACAACATTTACTTAAGAGAGACTGTGTGTGTGTTGTACAGAGGAAAACACTGACAGAGAACAAAGAAAAGAGACAAGGGGACAAGATCCAGCTGCTGGAGGCCAAGATAGAGGAACTGGAACTGGAAGCTGCTGCAGCAAAGAAGTAAACAGCAAATCTCTCATTTTCTGAATGAAATAATAGTTACCCTGCCAGGAGCTGCTCTCTCACACTGGTCGAACTTAGCTTTTTTCCCTGAGTAACATGTTGCCCTAGCTCTTTTACACGATAGGCCTCATGTGAAAAAATCAACAAACCTGAAACTTCAGTTGCTCACAACGTGGGTCTTTTTGTCCTTATAATGTTGGACATTAACCGTCCATACAAGACAAGTTAGGAAGCTACGAGGGAGCCACTGACATATTTTTTCTCTCTGTTCAGACGGTCGTCTTTCTCAGAGGAGCAAGCTCAACTGAACAGACGGTTGAAGGAGCTGCAGCGACGACACAACGAGTTTCGACGCCTCCTATTAGGCGGCCAGGGTCCCTACAGTGCTGGCCCCGCCTTCCTGACCTCCTCACCCACGCCCTTCCTCCTCCTAGGGTCTGAGGGACCACTATCCAACATACCAGTGAGTCGAAACAAGCAGTGAGCGGAACATTTTGCATCAGTCTGTGTTGTAGATGGATGATACCGTGTAAATAGTTAAATAGAATTGAATAAAACAGTGATAGGTAAAAATCCATCATAGGAGAAGAACAGAAACAGGAAATAGACCAGAATGCAGCAACAACACAGCTTGTGTTCTGAGGAAATGAAATCCCTCACCCTTTTCTACACACACACACACACACACACACACACACACACACACACTGAATGCAATAAGGTCACACCTCTCCTGTGGGTTGGCATCCCTTAAACTGTCACTGCACTAACTGGAGCAGCGGTATACGTGGTTTGTGCTGTGCAGAGCTTCTGAACATACTAATGAACAAATATATATATATAAAAAATCAAACAAACCCACATGACCGAGGTTGATTGGTAAACCATTGTTAAAAATCCCCACACGTTTCATAGCAGCTTGATCAAGTACCCGAGCAGCTTTACCACAGAGAAACCAACAAGTAACCAAAGGGTTATGTTAATTCACCGAGATGTGAATGAACAGGAAGCATGGTGCTTGTGTATCAGTGTAGTTTAAGGCTGTCGTAACATCGGCTTGTTTTTCCCTCCGTGCTGCAGGAGGAGCAGCATCAGAGGGAGCTGTCTCTGCTCCGTCGGAGGCTGGAGGACCTGGAAAGCGCCCAGCAGCAGCAGCTGGAGGAACTGGGATCTCTGGTGCAGAGGGACAGGGACCAGCCTGACCTCTGACCCCCCCCACCACTACTTCCCACTGAACTAACATTTGAAATACAGAGTGAGATGTCATCGTCTGTCACATCAAGGACTTCAGTGTTTTTTAGCATTATTTATTGGTGTTTTTCCTGAAAGAGAGATGAGATTGGATTTGATCAGTGTCTCTCTAATGTTGTTACACCGGGTAATTTGAAATGCAGCAGCACCTTTTTTTTTAAATTGACCGTGACATCCTCAGGGTTTGATACTGTATTGAGAGGTTTGTTTACACACATTTGCTCTTAAACTCTGGGGGAAAAAAAGGTTTTTATACAGATGAGATGATACAAAGGTTTGAGACACGGCAGGCTGTTAATTGCACAATGTTTATACAGACTTGAACAAGTTTTACCTGAACTGTATTTAAACAATGATTTAAAAATGAGTCTTTTTCTATCTGTGGTTTTGAATTTGTGTGTCTGTGTATTTTGTGTGACAACAAATAGTGTAAGTTAATGAAGTAGTTGCTTTTCACTGTGAAACTGCAGTAAGAAAGTCCATCAGACAAAAGACAGATCAGCAGATAGAGACAAACGGTAAAAGTGTCCTTTTTTATGAAAGCAACTGACAGGTGATATGTGCCTCAGTGTCTCTGGGAGTTCACCAGTTTAATGCCAAAAAGTTGCCTGGATTCAGTTTTCAACAGAAGACACAAAATTCCCATTGACTCATGAATTACTGCCATGGTTGGCACCTCCTTCAGCTCCTCTGAGACTGTTTCTTCAGTAACGGGATGATGCATGCAGGACAAAAGTCCCCTCGGTCCTCTCCTGACAGGATCGGAAGGGTTTTTCTCTCACAATGTCATTCATAAATATGAGTGAAAGGATGGCGGCTCAGTTCCAGGAGCAGCTCTTTAGTCCATCAAACAAGTTTTTAACATGATGTAGTTGCTCCGTCAGCTCAATAGGGGCTCCATTTTGGTCCAGCTTCTCTTGGATCTGTAGAAAACACAAAAATATGTAAGACATTTATAGGCATATTAAAATTCCACCTTTTTCCAACTAGAATCAAGTCAAAATGTATCAATCGAAGGTGTGAGATATATTCCACACCTATTAATTATCAGTGTCACTCTGAGCCTTTATGTCAGGCTGGAGTACACTCCAAAAACATGCAGCTTAGTGAGCTTTTTACTATAAAATGTTTCAGTTTGTAAAAACAACTAGTGGTATTCTCTGAGCTCAGAGCTCTTAAATTCTCTGTATGACTCAGTATAAGACTCAGTGATACTGGGTTCAAGAATGCAACCTTTTCTATTGAACATCGTGAAATCCTCACTGTTTTGCTCATGAAGAGTTTTGCACACGAGAACCGGAAACGACCGCCAGATAAACGAAGCAAAGTGAAATCAGAAGTTTCGAACCCTCATTTCCTCTACACACACACCCACAAACACACACTGTCTCATGTGACTGTTTCGCAATTGAAGTCACTCTTGGCTGCCGCTGTCAACAGCTCAGATGCATGAGTCTGGGGCAGACAGCAAATAAAACGTGGGTATGATATGACCAGCTGTGCTCAAGAAGCAGAAACCACCAGCATGCATAAACACACTTCTAATATTTTATAACCATATTTACTTTTTTTATATCCTACCTTTGTGTATATGTATATTCAGATTTGATGAGCGATTCACACGTCCTTCACAGCCTAAAGACAGCTACTCTAATAATAAGCTTGTACTCGTCTGCATGAGGCCGTGTGAAAAACCAAAAATTAAAGGTTTTGTTGTCATGCACGAAGCAGACCTGATGATTTCTCATCAGCGTAATGTTTCACCTCTCTGCTGCACGTAGATTTATCCCATTATCAACTGATAATTATCGTGCATCCCTATTAAAAATCCAAAGTCATTTGGAACTTAACATGTAAACACACCAGTACCACGTAGGAAGAAAGAAATGTGTCTGACCTCTGTGAAGTATCGCTGGATGAATCTGTAGAGCTCTCTGAGGGCTCCGGCTTCGTTGAACTCATTTTCATGTTTCTGAAAACAAACAGTCATCCATTCACTGCTGGTCTTCACCACGCCACTTCTATAAGATTTTGTAGTGAAATGGACGTTACCTTCGACTCCTCTTGCAGGAAGTCATTGAACTCTGAGGTTGTGATGGGTGACTGGTCTCTGATCTGCTTGTAGTAAATCTTCACTTCCTGTTTGAACTTGGGAATGTCTTTGGCATAGAGGAGCTTGTTGGTTGGTGCATGCTGGGACACAACAAAAGTCATATTAGAGTCAACCCACCATCTCTGCCTACTGTAACAACAAAGAAGAGAAAAGTGGACTTCCTGTATTTCCTGTATTAATACATTTACGTGTTACCTTCCCCAGTTGGGTCTCACTAAGAGAAAAGGAGTCCATGAAGGCCTGGGCGATGACAGAAAGGCAGCCATCCAAATTTGGAGTCTTCTCCATGTCGAACACAAACTGGGGATTTTTCAGGATGTTGATCCAGAAGCGCAAGGGCAAACTGACAGGACGAAAAACTGGTTACTGAAGGTTCAGGAAAACAAGACTTAAAACATAAATATAGCAGCAAACAACTATTTGCTATATAAGCGTAGTCATGGTATCCTGAGCTGAGAATGATGTCACACTCCCTCTGCCTGTGTTGCTATAGCAGCCTCGCTGTGGCTTGTTCCGGTCTCTGCATGCAGCTGAGTAAAGCGACTGAAACTGCAGTTTTTTCTCATATATCCTGGTGAATTAAGGATTTATTTCAACCAAACCGGAGTTGGTGATTCTTGGATAGACAGTGGAAACGCTAACAAAGATGGTTTTGGTGAGTTTTATTTTGTTTTTGTCACATTGTTTTGGTCTGAGATGCTTCAGTGTGACATCCAGCATATAAAGCCTTTAAGATTTAAACTGATTCAAAGTCATATATGCCATCTTATTTGTTCTGACTTTTTTATCAAGGCTTTTCCTCCTGTCTACAGGGTTTTCGCTGACCCAGCCATACCTGTTGGTCTTCCAGATGTGCAGCACGTCTGGGTCGGTGATCTTCATGTTGTCTGCCTGAGTGTCCAGGAAGTCGAAGAAGTATTTGACAGCGTGCGGGGCTCTGCAGTGCGGCATCCCCCAGATAGATCTGAACAGGTTCTCCACGTATGAATGCACTGCCACCTTGAAGAGAAAGAACGAGGTAACGTGATTGTTTGCTGTCACTCATTGTTCATTATGGGAAATGACTAACGTTAAAGCAGATGATGGTAAAGAACAGCAACAGAGATATTTCAAGTTTGAAACTGAAAACCAAAATGCTTAAATGCGATCAAAGGTGTTTTTTTCTGCGTCAGTTATAATCAATGTGCCTGGACGCATCCTGTGTAGATATAGTGGGAGTAACAAAAGTGTTGTGCTTCCTCTACAACGTCAACACTGGTGGTGGTAAAAAATAACCATGCCAGAGACTGGTATCAGTTCTGCTAGTGTTTGGTGCATGGTTAAGTAAAATGAGGCTTTGTGACTGGTTCCTCTTGCCTTGGTGGAGAGCAGCTTGGTGAGGTACACTTCCTTCAGTTTTAACTTCTTCCTCTCTGGGTTCTTTCTTTGGTCCTCGTCTACATCAGGATCAATCTACAGAAAAAGAACAATTAAATGAGCCAACCTCAATTCTGTTACAATATCACACACATGAAAGTGTGTAGTGGTTAAAATGTTCCTGTCTTATAAATTGATTTATGATTCACCATAAAAACATAAAACACAAACGGGCTCTTACCAAGTGGAAATATTTTCCAGAGAAGTTTTCATCATCTAAAAGGAAAGAAATGAACAGTGATCATCGGCTAAATAATTAGCTCCCTCTTGTACCATTTTAGCATTTGGTTTGTTGCCTACATATTTATTAAAAGGTGTGACATGCAATATGCAAATATTTGTGCATTTTAGTGTTTATTAGTGTCATACGAGTATGGCCATCAAAGTAACAAAGAGGCCACAGTGCAGGGAGGAGGAACAACACTCAACAGCAACGTGTGAAAGATATGTTCTAATTGTGGCTCAATACGATGCGTTACACTTTACAGCTCGCATGCTATCCACCATGCTATATTTTCTGTTTGCGAAAAAACAATGTGTTACAAAATATGTGGCCGCACTGTTTAGACACACAATGACAACTCCAGTTCCATTTGCTGATTAAGATTGTAAGAAGTAGTGGAAGCTCAGACAAAGCTAGTAAGAGGACCTTGAGCTGGTGCCAAGGTCAAGGATGGACTCCCATGCTCAACATGTCAACAGTTTTCATGGCTGTTACAAAGTCTACCAGATGCTGATTAGACCCATTTGATGATTCCAATGAATAGTACCGTATTGACTTAGTTTTATCAATAAAATAAGAAGATACACTTTACTAAGCCTCAGAAGTGAAGCATATTTCTGAACTATGGACTGAGCCATGCAAGCGGTTTGTATCCGCTTCCAGTCTTTATGCTAAGCTAATCCCCTCTCCGTAATTAGCGCACAGACATGAGAGTTGTATTAATCTTCTCATCCAATTCTTGTTTCACATATTTCACATAACTATTCCTTCGAGTGTTCAGCAGTGTTTTCCTCTCAGCTCTTACCCTTCAGACTCCCCTGTGGGCTCAGAGGAGGATGGGTTTTCTTAGAAAGCACTTTGATTGTCGCTCCATCGGGAACCTACAGCAGTACAAACAGACCAACACAAAGAAGGATCAAAATGTTAATGTACCATTTGGTAAAAAAGAGAAAACTGCTATTAAATTACTACATTTCTAAAGTGGCTATATACACTGTAGGTGTAGCAGTACAATCTGCCATTTACATCAGACATGCTTTCAATTTTACCTTTCCCTGTGTTTTGTTTTTATCATTTGTGTGTGTAAAAGGAAACCACAGTCAACCACAGAAATCTCCCAGGTACTCAGGTCTATATTGAAGAAAGGTTGATGGTTTCAGGAACTTCGGAAACTTCTTTACTTGATATTTGCTCAATTGTACTGTAATTAAAATAGACAGTTCCCCAGTAGTGGGTGTTACAGGGATTTCCTCAGACAGCAACACTTATGTATTGTCCCTTGCTAGATCAATCATGTGTAACAAAACATTGTGGTGTAATATGGCCAACACAGTCCAGGCCACCAGGCCATGATACAAAAGTCTGATAGATGGTAGACAAGCTAGACTGATGTCACATTACCGCATTTGGTTCACACTTCACAGACCACTATGTGCTCTATCACCTTATAGGTGTTCTTAAAGGAGTTTGTTATTCACATTTTGAATCTAGCTTTTGTCAAGCTGTCATGCAAGGTTAATCAGACAACAACCATAGAATAGGATAACACTGAATAGTTAGAAGAGGGAAGTTCTGCAAACTGACACAGGCTCAACTCTGCCTCCCTGCTCTCATGTTGACAGTTGCTGTTCTGAGATGCAGTGTTTTAGTGGCCGTGTTTCTGTTTCTGTTATACCGGTCGGTTACACCTCAGAAGCATCCTCTGAAACAGTTGGTTCCAACAACACAACCCAAACAGAAACTTTCTGAGAACATATGTATATATAGAAATTGAGAATCCTCTCACTTCTCACCGTGTAGTGCTTGAGTGTGTTGAGCATTGTCACCTCCCCAATGACCTCCGAGCTCGCATCCACTTCCTGGAGAGGAACAAATGATCCATTCTTCTCATACTCTGGAGGGAAAAAGGGAACAAGTTGTGGTTAAACAAATATATAGTCTGTTTTTTATAAGAGGCTCAGTAATTTTCCTAAAACATCTGGGCTGTAGTTTGTAATGAATCTTACTCAAACAGGTGGAAACTGCACATTTGTTGGTAATACACATTTGATTCAACACATGAGCCGTACATGTGGAACTGTGTCTTAAACATTGCACAATGAAGGAAAAGGTCACCAAGTGCAATAGTGTGAGGCACACACTCAACTGATGTGTTTTAGCTAACTAAGCACTGTGAAAAGAGCGTCGGTTGAATGGTGAAAAGAAATGCAGAAAACGAGGGAAATATGACATTTATATTTTTTCATGTTTTTATGTGAGGAATGCTACAACACATCTGTGTGGAGCGATCATGGATGTATTAGAGAGCCACGGGAGCTGTGAGGAGGTTGTCAGAGCGGAAACAGCTGATCAGTCATGGGAGTTAAATGTTTGCTACGTCAGAACTTATTTGGGAAAAGGCTTTCCATCTCCCATTAAGCACTAACTTTTTTAAGAAATTGGGGAAGTTTATTTGTAAATTGCTGTTTCCATCGACCTCTTCTAATGCAATACTTATCCAGTTGAAAAATATATTGATGGAAACACGGCGATAGACAAGACTTAGTCAGGTAAAGTCATTGTCGGTTTTAATCTTCCGTGTAATCTATTTAAAGACACAGGACTTAAGAGACTGGTCTGTTACTCACCGATACAAATGTCCCTGAGCAGGGTGTTGTAGGGGAATCCAAACTTGGCCTTGAAGGTGGAAAGGATTTTCTCTTTGACTTGCTCTACTGTGTCACAGCTCAAGGCGTTGACCTCCAGAGGCTCACTGACCTCTCCGTCACTTCCCACTGCAAACAGCACCTTCAGCTTCTGTAAACGACAGACAGAAACATGGACCAAACTGACTGTGATCGATCTTGCTTCTCTGAGCTGTACACAATCAGATACACAGACTGTAGAATTTCTGCTAGAGTGCGTGCGTGTGTGTGTGTGTGTGTGAACGGTGACTAAAAGCTTACCACACTAGCACATGCACACAATACAGCTGCTCGTATACATACTCTTAAAAGACCACCTAACTGCTAACCTCAGTTTTCCTATCATGCCCAACAGTAGCATCATAATGACAGCTGGTTCATACTTGAGGGAAGGTGTGGTTAATGAAAGGCTTTCACAGCAGCGTGGTGCTGGTCGATGGATTATCAGTCTCCATCTAATTTCCTTTCTGCAGTTTTGTGGCTAATGCACGCACTGTCTAATGGATGGATATGAGCAGTAAAGTGAGATGGTGGTTTTTTAGATTAGATAAAATGTTCATAACTGCTGAGGGCTAGGCCACCGTAGCTGAGAGAAGGAAGTGAAGAAGAAGAAGAGGAAACACAGAGTACCAAAGGTTATATCAGAGGAGTGTGTGTGTGTGTGTGTGTGTGTGTGTGGGGTAACACATGTAGCTAGCTTACCGTCAAACATTTGATATGTCATGGTTGGCAGGATTACTGTACAGTCAGCATGATTCTTAAAATAGTACGTATAACAGTACAAAAATATTTCTGTTCAAACTAAAATCACAAATACATAAAATCTCTAAATGTATAAAACACAACTGGTCTAACTAAAGGGTTTGTGATGGACCCCATCACTCGTAGTAAGACATATTGAGAAAAAATGCCTTCTGGGCCATTAAGATTATTAAATCATATACACTATGTCACTCCATGTGTATCATGTGACATATGTATAAGTCAAATCTACTGAATGCATCTTGAACTCGTATGACATGGTAATATGTGAGTTCATTTCTGGTGTCAGTATTTACAGACTCCAGCAACTGTAGTTCCACAAACTTCACTGTCAAACCCGCAGAATTACAAAGAATTTGATTATCTAAGATCAGCTGCTTCAGTTTCACATTTGTACACGCTAACTCATGATTGGTCATCTTTTACTACTCTCTCTGTTTTAATGATATTTAAATGCTTTGTTATTAAATGATGTGTCCATTCATTACAGAGTTGTTTATTTAACAAAGCCAGTCTGTGTCTGACCTGAGTTAAATCATGTTGTTCTCAATGTGAAACACTTGAATATGTGTCAGTGCAAAAACACCACAATATCACTGATTATACACTGATTTAATGGATATTGTAGTTTCACATTTTCCAACACGTAATTTAAATAGTACTACCACTTATATCAGCTTAACACGTGCAATTTGTTGGTAGTCTTTTTGCAACTCTTTTTTTTTCCAAACACATAAATGAGTTAGCATTTTTTGCACTTGCGGTTCATTAACCTCAAGGGCAATGTTTTTTTTTAATGGGTTTCAGGTTAGATGCCTGAAATAAGGTCTGTGATGAACAAAAGCTTGAGATTTCAGAGCATAAAATACCCCATCTGTGAATTTTGAAGCTTTTACATCTCTTGAAAAGGCAGTTGCTAACAAGTGGCTAAATGAGACATCAGAGGTTGTCTATGACATTAAACATCAGCATTAGTCCACCATTACAGCCTTGTGTCACTGTAGAAATTGAAAAATCCCATTGGCTTTTAGTCAAAAGGTATCGGATCAATGCAAACATTCACGGGTTGGCCAACAAAAGTTTGTCATCCCTGAAGCACTTTCTATTACCCAAATTATAAAAGAACCCAGACTTGAATAAGCATGTCTGTATCTAGTATCATGAACTTCTCTATCTAGCTGAGGAGTAGGGTGTGGTCCACCATATGTGGGTTTATTGATGTTTTTAATCTGAGAAATGCTGAGAAGTGTTTTCATCAAAAGTATGACTGTCAAGAGCTGCTTCCTTAAACACAGCTTAACGTCTGATTTAGGGTTTCTCAGAAGCTACACATCAATGTTAAGGTGTGTGCAATGTCCTCCTACTTGTGAAAAACTGGCTATTGGCTCCAACATCTGGGCCATGTAACATTTGTTTATTTAAATCAGACAAAATCTATTTTTTTACTTTTAAGGATGCATGCCAGTGATCTGCAGTGGTTGAGCAAGTATTAGGTAAAAAACTTCCACACACAATGTGGACATCCTCATGTACTAAGGTTTGTTTTCCTGTCACACCCCTCATTGCTGTAATCAAACATCTTTCACTCTCATTTTCAGTCTTAATGTTTGACAGCAAACAGATCAGATATTTCCTGCCAGTAAGGTGGAATGGTAACGTTTTTCAGTTTCTCTTGTTTAACCCAGGTCTTCGAACCTGTCTTCTACACATACACCATAAAAAGGTTGTTTTTAACTCTGCTTTTAAGTCTAAAGGGGAATAAATTGAGTGGAGCTCAACAAAATATCTGTTTATTAAACAATGTGTTCAGTTATCTAATGTATATTTTTGTCAGGAGTTTTTTCAGAACTTCTCAGCTGTGCAAATCCAGGAAATCTGTTTTTCAACTTTGGTTAACACAGCCTGTGTGCTGCTTTGCATTTTCAAAGGGGCCTTAAAATACATAGAGAGGAAGTGGCTCAGCAAGTATGGAAATGTATGTCTGTATGCAGTTGGTACTATATGGCAGCCACCTTTATATGCACACAATGAGGATGTTGACTAATCAGAGTCCAGACCTGAAATTCAGATGGGTTAAAAAAACTGACCCACAATTTGTAAATTCAATATCATAGCATTATTTAAACACAAAGTGTGTGTGTATTAGTCTATTGGGGGTACTGTGTGTTTATTTTGTTACTACGAAGATTAGACAGTTTTGTACTTCTAAAACTAAAAAACAGAACTAAGAAATGGGAAGAGTTAATGACTGCTTCCACATGTACAAGCATAACTGACTCAACTTGATGTGACGTACTGTAAAAAGAACAATACGCAAATGCACCATGCATAGTTTGGTAGTTATTCCATTTATGTGAAGTAAGTAAACCACCACACACAAAATGACCTCTTGTTTGGACTCAAGTAATCGGCTAAAATGTGCAAATGCCCTGAGATGTACAAAGTGTGTGTGTGTGTGTGTGTGTGTACCAGGGAGCTGAAGTCTTGAGCCTGCCACAGCAGCCAGTCCTCGCTCAGTGTGTATAGAGCTTTCTCTGTCACACAGTCCACAGGTCCTTTTGCTGTCTGCTGCGTGAGAGCACTCACCATCAGGAACAGGTGTTGGCCAACACTTTCCTGCAAAGAATCAGAAACAGGAACTCAGTTGGTCAAACTGGGCACAGAAGCCACTGTAACTTTATGAAGAGCACTCTGCGGTGTTAACCACAGCAGGGAAAAAGTGACTGAAACTTGGTTCATTCTGGTTTACCGTGTTCCAAATGATTATGCAAATATGATTTAGATTAAAGAAACATTTTATTTTTTGTTTTTCAATGAAAGTTTTCAATTGTGCTGCTTCACATGTCTGATTAGATCACTGTCATCAATCAGGTTTGTCTTAATTAGTTTGCCAGGTGAGCCTAATTAATGGGAAATTACTTAAGGATGTTGTTAAGCAAGTCACAGGTTTCATGCAATATGGGGGAAAAAAAGATCTGAAGCTGCTGGTGCCTCTGGAGTCCCAAGAACCTCTCGATGCAGGATCCTCCAGAGGCTTGCTGATGTGCATAAAGCTGTATTTAGGCCACCCTTTAACAATGCCCACAAGGAGACATGATTGCAGTGGACTCAAGACTAATTGTCTAACAGTTTTATTCACAGATGTATGCCATGCTACTCTGGATGGTCCAGATGGATGGAGTTCTGGATGGCCACCATGTCACAACAAGGCTGCGACATCAGCAAGGAGGGGGTGGAGGGATGTTTTGGGCTGGAATCATGGGAAGTGAGTTGGTAGGCCTCTTTAGGGTGTCTGAAGGTGTCAAAATGACCTCTGCAAAATATGTGGAGTTCCTAACTGCCCATTTCCTGCCATGGTATAAAAAGAGGAACCATGCCTTCCGAAGTAAAATCATTTTCATGTAAGACAACGCACCATCCCACGCTGCAACAAATACCATTGAGGCCTAGGCTGATATTCGTATTAAAGGAGAAAGAATTACGGTGTGGCCACCATCATCTCCTGACCTCCACCCTATTGAGAACCTGTGCTGTATGAGGGTGGGTGGCAGTTTACCTCAAAACAGCAGCTCTGGGAGGCAACTCTGGCATCCTCAAAAGAAATACAGGCAGTACATGGACTTACAAGTTAGATAGATAGATAGAAATACTTTATTTATCCCCAAAGGGAAATTATAATGTTAAAGAAGCTGATTAAGAGTCAATTATTATTAGAAAGTCTTGGATGAGAGAGTTGTTAATGTGGTATCAAAGAAGGGCTCCTATGTTAATATGTAACTCGATACGTAAAGATTAAAATGAAATTTGAGAAAAATTACCCCCTAATGCAAAAAATACAACAGATTTCTGTTTTCAGTCCTTTAGAAACTATTGAGTGTTTCGAGACTCTGTTTTGCATAATAATTTGGAACACTGCATTCTATGTTATTTTGCAAAAAAATGCCATTGTCATCATATAAACAATAAAATCCAGATTACGATATAAGTGTTGAGGAATACAAAATCCTATTGAGTGCCAATTAAATAGACTATTTAGGGTAAACAAGAACAAAAACAGTATATGCATAATAATTTTGAACATAGTGTAGGCAATAGAAGCTGTCAGAATTTGGTACTGACGCACATATTTTTGAACAAGAATCAATATGCATGCATGGTACACATTGTAACAGAGCTAAGTCAAAATACTGTGATCTATATATAGGTAACACGAAAAACTCATCTGAGTATGTGATAGCTGTACAGAACTGATGTGTGTAACCATGGTTATGTTTCCTTTAGATTAGGTCGTTATTAGCTGTACAGGCAGAGGAGGTTTAGAGATAGGATGTGGTTTGTCAAATGTCTGAAGTAACCCCTCTAGTTTCAAGGGTGACTGTCAGGTCCCAACAGAGCAGTTACCAGCTATTTACAGAAAAATACCCTAACAAGATCTGAATCATCAAAATTCAAATCAGAGGACTCAGCATATTTAAAGGAGTCATTTCCTTGCATTTCCCCAGCATAAAAGGTTTATCCAGACACAGTTCTCTTGCACCACAGGAGTTATTTATCGTGCGAACTGGGAAAGACTGAGTGAGTGAGAACTTTCATCAAATACTTGTGTGTTGTACGAATTTATCTGATCTGATTCTGGTGCATGATCTGTATGGTGTAATTTGATGAATTAGATTTTTTAGCTTAAGGTCCTGTTTATTTCACACACTGTGTTATGTCAACACACAGTCTTCAGTGTTTTAACTAACACAAAGGTGAGTCAAAGGGAAAGACAAAAGTCTGCACTCTCTGTGAGGTTGTAATCAGACACAGTGGCGCTTTGAGTTCAGTGCTAACATCAGCATGCTAACATGCTCACAATGACGTTGTTAACATGGTGATGTTTAGCAGGCATGATGTTCACCATCAAAGATTAGCAAGTTAGCATGCTAACATTTGCTAATTAGCACTAAACACAAAGTACAACAGGGGCTGATGGGAATGTCAAATTCTGGGAATGTCAAATTCTGGAGAAATAAAAATGTTGACCTGATGGTGGCTCTACATACTCAGTTAATGGATCAATAATGTTCTTACAATTCATCCCGTGGGAAACATGAATGTCTGTGCCAGATTTCATGGAAATTCATCCAAAAAAATACAGAAAAATAGCTGACTGAACTTTTCCTTATTAAGTATTATAGAACAGCAAACACTAAAAGAAATGTTGAGAGCAACTGACCCGGAGGAAGCCATAAAGGCAGATGGACATCCAGTTGGTCAGCAGCTTCTCCACAATGGACTCAGTGCGTCGTAGTAACAGTTTGGGCTGAGCGTTGCTGTTCTGCTGCATCAAATCCCTCAGCAGAGCCTCCATTACCTCCGTCAGGTACGACAAGTTGTTGTGGAGCGCTACGGTCAGTAATGATGCCAACGCACACCTGGGAGGGAGTAGATAAAGGTGAGGAGACAGAGGTAGACAAGAACAGGATACAGGACGTGAGTTCAAACAATACAATGCAGAGGAAGTAGAGACTAGAAGAATACTGTGCAGAGTAACGGATGAATAAACAATATTTTTAATAGTGCTTGCTTTTCATATAAAAAGAGCCATGGATGAATGTGAATGTGAAGAAAATATGACATACCAGAAGAGACCGTGATAGGCAAGAATGGAACATTAATAGAAAAGCCGAATAGAGAACTGAAACTGAAAGACGATAGATTAGAAAAGAGCAGACAAAAATAAAGTCGACCACAAAGGGCAGCAGCAAATAAGAATAGCGATCAGAAAAAATGTAATGAACAGAAAGCCAGTAAGACACACTAGAGAACAGACCACACTTCAGATATCTGTTGTATCATACTGTATATCAGAGACAGTCATACAGTAAAACACAACAAACTGACTTGTCTTTGATGGTGAAGCTCTTCTGCTCCTCCAGAGCGTGCACCATAGATGTGAGGAAGACCTGGTCCTGGATCAGCCTGGACAAGCCCTGGCAGCACTCGTCAAGTTGAACCTTCACCACATCCTGATTTCAGGTCAGATACAACACCACATGACTGACAGAGTTACAGTGATAAGTGTAATCATCAACAGCAGCTGGCTTCAAACCTTACCTGACCAATGTCTTTGATACACGATGTCATCAGAGATTCGCTCTGAAAAACAACAACAAAAAGGTTTGTTATAGTTGATATTTCACAATTTACAGCAACATTTGGTCAGATATGAACATTTGTTTTCTTTTCAGCTCCACTGTACCTCAGGAAAAAAGATTCTGGAGGCAAAGTGCTTGTAGTCCAGGAAAGGAATCGCTCCAACATTTTCCATCAGGTCAGCTTTCTCAGTCTGCAGATCCACAAAACCTGCCGAGCACAGTTAAATGACGCTGCTTTTATGAACCTGTGTGTGTTGAGTGACACTCAATCTCATCTGGCAGAGCTGGAGAAAATATTTTAAAACACCCCCTTTTTTTTCCAGAGAAAGGACAAAGCAGATATATATCTCTCTTTAGTGTCAGTTAAAAAAAAACTAACTTGTAAAGCAAGCATCAATTTGCAGGTCACAAATAACTGCTTAATTGTGTACTTGTGCTGCATCTCACTTAGTATTTTTATACCTCTGCAGGTCCAAAACTTATTACTACAAATGAGACCTTGACTGTGTGTATAGCGGCCTCCTTTTTTAACATCAACTGTATTTGAGAAGTCTGACATCAAAAAAGGGAACTGTGTTGACTTAACTGTAGATAAAGGGTTAAACGTGGTCATGTGTTAGATGCTGAGTAATTTCTCAAATATGATCACATACAGTTTTCACAATTTGTAACTGACATGCTAGCTCTGGTTTGATTTGATATTTATTTGCACAATAAAGCATAAGCAGAATCACAAATAAATGAAAAGAAACATGAAAAACAGGATGTTTTTCACATTCATCTGCTGAAAGTGGAAAGTTTCTCTGTGCTCATTGAAAATCTGATTTTAAAGGGTGGGGTCTACCAGCATGATTTGTGACATCCCAAATAGTTTGGAAGTCAAACCTGGTCCAGTATTAAACTTATATAGTGTGATGTAGAAACTTGAAGCCACCAGTGAACATCCACTGAAAATATATGTATGTATATATATATGGGGTCTTTCAAAACTGATGTAGGAGAACAAGATATATCGTCTTTTATATTCCACAAATTATTCTTCCTTTTCAGTACCTGGTGCCTACATTACCCACTATCCAATGGGGTAATGTAGGCAGCCCAAAGATTATTCTTATGTTTTTTTTAGTAGAAGTAGAGTGCAGGAGTGGCTTGAGAAGTTTATATGGACGTTTTGATACTCCAAATATGATCCTTTTTTCTAACGTTTAAACTGGTCAGTACTGGAATCCATTGTAGGGAGAGACAAAAAACTAAAAGAAGCCTACAGTCTACCTTACTGAAACACTATAGATAGCAAAGTTTGTGACTAACCTTGTCTTATGTCATTCCTGATGTCGAGCTCCAGGTCTTCTATAAGCCTGTTCATCTTATGGGTGAGCTTCTTCTGTTTGCTTCGATAGACAATCACAACCACTGAAGAACAAAACCAAGCAGACAAATAGTATTTGGTTTTCCTGTTATGGTTTGACCTGTATGTGTGTTTTTGAGGCTGGTAGTGGACCAAAGTGGATCAAATCCCTCAACCCTACTTTGAGTACTTACCAACAATAATGCAGGGTATCAGCAGAAGGGCAAGTAGCATCAGAAAGAACATATACACTGAAGACCTAGGGTTCAGGGTTACAGTCTTGTCTCCATACTTTATCTGTGAGAAAGCAATAATCACTCTATTTTTGAAATGAATTTTTACAGCACACAAATACATGTTTACTACTCAAAAATCCATTGTTCTTCTTGTATGAAGAAATATATACAAATAATCAGCTGGAGGGAGATCTTTAACTTTTTAACATTGTAATTTTGTAATAATTATCATAATAACATTTATGTGTAACTTGTGTGATGTAACAGACATTTACCATTAACTGCTGAAACTCAACGTCAGGTGTCCCTTGAATCTCACAGATAAAGAAGTCAGTCTCGTTACTGGTTTCTTTGGCTTCCATGATGCAGGGGAATTGTTCCCCTTCCTGAACGCCCCACACTGACAACTCTCCCAATGTCATCTCCAGTTTGTCTGCCTTTTTCTGCAATAACAGAAACACATACTGATGTTTTATGCATTCATGTTCTATTTTTGTGTATCTGTGATAAAAATATACATTACCTCTATGGTGATGCGCACATCGTCTCCTGTCCTTGTAGATGTGAAGCTGGTGAACTCAGGGTCTGGGTAGTAGGTTATTGTTGTGGAGCAGTTCAATGTTTCATTGGCTACTTTCAGAAACACACTGCTTGTAAAACTCTCTCGATAATTTCCAGCTGCCGGTGTGTCATAGATCAGATTCTGTAGTGAATTAAAAAAACATTACAAATTTACTGCACGACGATGATGCATGTGTATAGACACAAGTAACGATAATGCAATATGACGTATTGAAAAGTGAATATGTTACATGACATAATCCTAGAAGATTACATTGGATGATGTGACATAACATTTGGCCTGTTGTATAAAACACCGATCAGCCATAACATTATGAGCACCTGGGCACCCTGGTGGTCATAATGTTCTGCAGCCCCATACCAACAAATTGTGATGCACTGTGTGTTCAGAACCATCATGAACTTTTTCAGCAGTTTGAGCTACAGTAGCCTGTCTTAGCTCCTCACGTGCATCAATGAGCCTTGGCCGTCCATGACCCTGTGTCCCACTTTTGATCAGTACTGACCTCTGCAGAGGGAACACCCCACAAGAGCTGCAGTTTTGGAGATGCTCTGACCCAGTCGTCTAGCTATCACAATTTGGCTTCTAACTCATCAACTTGAGGACAAAATGTTCACTTGCTGCCTTATATATCCCACCCACTGACAGGAGCCATGGTAACAAAGTAATCAGTGTTATTCACTTCACCTGCCAGTGGTCATAATGTTATGGCTGATCTGTGTAATGTGTCAGTAATGCAGCATGATATGATGTGATGTGACATAATTAATGTAAGATAACAATACAATGGGACATTTTGCATGTCTACAGACCCACCTGAGAGATGTTGTTTCTGGGAAGTCTGACATCATGCAGGGCGTGGCTGTGTAAGACCCCTTCCACAAACTCCAGGTGGGATCCAGTGAGTGTAATCTTCCTCTTCCCACTACAGGACACAGAGCAGCAGCCAGTCAGAGAAGTGGAAATATAATACACATTTGATACCACAGAAAGCATTTTCTTAAACATGACACATATGGAGCGAAGCCTGCGAGCTAGTTCAGGCAGGTCAACTCAAGCTGCGCTGATTACACACATGACATGCCTTATTCCATAATCACTAACCAAGCGCTCCCTTCCAATCTGGCGGTCTATTTAAACTGTACAATTTCCCAGCTCTCTCTCTGCTCTGCCAATGCTGCTGTTGCCCTGCATCCATATTGCTGCTGCTGCTGCTCTGTAAGCCATTGCTGTCTGCTGCGCTGTAAGCCCCACCACCACCAAGGTATTTGCGCATCACTCCCCAATATCTCTATGTAACATATCTGCGGGGAGTGATGAGGTCGGAGCCTAGACGCCAAAATCTAAATATGCTGTACTGCTTAATAAACATTCCAAACATGAGTTGGCTGACTGAACTAGGGTCCATATAATAATATAAGTCTAAAGCTCTCGTGACCCCACATTAAAAGACAATATACCCTTTTTGGACCACTATGAGCACATATTCGCAGGGTTTTTTAACACGGGTAAAACCGCCAAAAGTCCTTTCCCCTTTGCCAGTAGGCAAATTTGCTTTTTTTCTTCTTCTTCTTTTCTTGGGTGTCACATTCAACATCATGACCATGCTGGAAAACACTGTTACATGTACATGTAAACAGTAGCAGCATAAAGTGTTATTGTGGCATCTTTTACTTCAGTCTATCTTTGAAAGTCATCAACGAGAAGTCAGGAGAAGCTCTCTCACCTCACTGTCTTGCCAGCGTTGCATCTTGCACGATAACAAAAAACTAAATTGCCAGTGCATGTTATTCCCACAGAAAAACTATAGAAAACAATAAATAATGTTCCTGGCTATTTATGCGGTAACATCCAGAACTTCAATATGCTTCATAGCTGGAAAGCACAGGACTTCCGCATGTCACTGCCCTAAAGACTTTGGTGTTCACCCGGTTTTATCAACAAAAGCTGGAAGAAAGTCCTCAGTCTCTATTCCATTAAGAGACTGGTTATTGAGTCTAGGAAGTCCAACATTAGGATTCACCCATAAGGGATCCTAGCAGTAGCAGCTCATAATTGTAAAGGCGTCATTAAAATCTTTAGGAATCATCCTGTATATTGTGAATATCCATAAATGTCATGACAAATCAATAGTTGAGATATTCTGCTCTGAAAGTGTTCAACGGACTGAAAGATTCAATTTTGCTGTTCAAGAACTTGTATCACAACCATGAGCACAATGAAGGGAGCACACTGGAAAGATGTACTGTACGTGCTAGCGTTGTCACTATGAGGAAGGGCAGAGCTTCTGTGCAATAGCAGAGTGATATAATGATTGAGGGAAAAAAAATTGAGGTCTCTTCTACTTTCATTTTATTGTGACTCCTTCAACATGGTGCAACCAGTGATAACCACTCCCAAAATGTACTGTGACAAGCCAATATACATGTTCATCTTCAGGGTAAAACTAATAACCAATATTTTATTGTCTCTTTATTATGCGTAATCGAAAATAGAAATGAATGAATGTGGCCCTGGGATAATGATGTTCCAACTACATGCACATAAATTGTTATAAAACTCTAAAGTATCTTGACTCTTGTGTTGTTCATGATTGTTGCTTGTTGCTGCGTAAAAACAGAAGTGGACCTTTCAGTTTCTGGAAACTGAAAAGGGAAGTGGACTAATGGTGAAAGACATTGCTTTTAGGAAGAGGCCATCTTGCCCTATGAGATAACCCTGAGCCTGTAACTGTTACTGACATTGTTTCCTAGAATAAGTGTCTTATTTAAGTTAGTGACAAATCATTGGGGGCAGATCCCAAAATACTAATACTACTTCAGTTTTCACTGCCTTTTTTGACAGCTCGGTCGACGGTGCTGCCACAAGCATCTGTACAGTCAAAGTATCAAACTAAATTGTAAAATGTGTTAAAATAACGTCATAATAAACATGATGTAGAATGTTGCTTTTTTCAATGATCATAACCAATTTCCCTGTTAACCTGCCTGCTGCCTCATGATAATTAGGTTGATTGAATGCAGAAGTGACATGTGTCAATTTAAATTGTTAAAAGTCCAGTGGAGCTCCGCACTCCATTAAAGTTTTAACATTTTTATGCTCCTCTACTTTGCAGGTTGTAAACACTTTTATAAAGTAAAACATTTGAAAGTTGGTCGAACTAAGGTCACGCCTCTGTACGGACAGATAGCCATTCATAGTGTAGGATAACGTACCCCCTGAATATGTGTAGGGAATACAAAATGCCAACAAATTCAGTCATACCTGGTCCAGGTGCTGCTGGGTGTGATGTTTTTGCAGGAAGGTAAGGACCGGTAGGTGATATTAGCATTGCCATGGCAACTACCACCTGGGAGGACAACACATACTTTGACCACGCCTTTATTATCCGTCCTGGGAATGTGGAACGTCAGATCCACACCAGTGTTGCTCCACACAGGAGATCTGACCAAAGCACACAGAATAAAAGAGAGAGAGAAACCGGATAGTCTCACTGAGATCAAGACTCACTTACTCACTTTTTTGTGTCGGTAAGTTTTTACATCATAATAACAATAACATGCAGAAAACCTAAAAGCAGCCAGAAGCATAGCGGCAAACACATTAAACATCATTTTAAACTCACGAGATGTTGTTTCATAAGCTTAACACATAATTCTACTGCCATTACAACATATCCCAACACAAGAAATATAAAAAGGATACAGCAGAATCAGCTTCATTCATCTATTAAACGATGCAGACAAACAAAGGTGTATGCTTTTGACTTTAAAGAAAATGCCACACATTTCAATTTTGAGGCTTTCCTAATCTAAAAACTGGGCACCTGATAAATCTGCCATTTTTCTACTGACAATGACTGCGTTTGGGTCCCTATTCCAATCCAGTCTCCAGCTTTAGGAAACAGCAGTACATGAAGTACTGGACAGTTTATGTCAATTCATAATATGGGTGGAATTCCCAGTAATAATCTCCATCTCTGAAATGTCATTTATAGTGTAAGCAGATTCTTAGTCGTCCATAAACTGACTCACTCTTGTGGCGTGCAGTCCATGTCCGCCTGGATCCTCACTCTGGTCACGCCAGCGAGGTTATGACCAGACAACATTGCAGAGTTTCTGCCGTAGAAAGACACGACACTGGGAGAGATTGAGGAGATCTCTGGTCTCTGACAGTAAAACACACACAAAGATAATCAGTTTTAATGTATTACCTTCTACTGATGTTTTAATCTCTATTGACTGTGAATGAGGAGCATCAGAGGAAGAATATATGTGACAACTGAGGTTCAGACTCACAGAGAAGTTCATCCCCGACTCCTCCGTTTGACAAACACTGTCCTGCAGGAGGAAGTGAGGTGAAGACATTAAGCAGGTTGACATTACATCCACTGTAAAAGTACTATGAAGAGTTGATACAGGACCTGTTGTGGCTAACATTAGCTTAGCTACAAAAACTGGAAACAGTAGAAAACAACTAGTCAGACAACTATAATTATTTACATGTTGTATGTGTTTGATTAACATATGCAGAAACAACAATCAGTTAGTTTAGCTACTGATCAGCTCTTGGTTGGGTGCAGTGGGGCCTGTAAAGCAGAAGCATGGGTTTCTCTGAGCAGACAGCATGGGTTTCTTTTTGTAACTTTTGATGGAAAAAATTAATAATAAAAAATGTATCATAAAAAAATATAATTAGGGCCCAAGCACCAACTGATACAAAGACAAAGTCTGGAAAACCCTCTTAGATAAACAGATGCATAGTTACATTTCCCTCTCCTCGTTTCCCCCAGGAACAGCCGTTTTTGCTCCAGCCACATCCAGCCTCGATACATCGCCGACACCTGAAGAGAAAACAAATGTTATCACCTGTTGTGTACAACCACAGAGACCACAATATAGTAATGATACATGCTTTCGTCAGATTTGAACCCTGGGTAGGCAGCAAGGACTCAGCCTTGTTACAAGGACTCTACCAGGTGAGCTAACTGGGCGCCCCTTGTACATGCTTTCTGATGATGAAACACCACTGACAGCCATGTTGGAAGTATGGGGCCAAATGCAGAAGGAGGGGTAAGCTGACCATTGTTTTTTTCTATGGAGTTTTTTGCCTTCTTTCTTTTTCTTTTTCCTAACAGTTAGTTTATTCTGTTTATTATTTATGTTAGAAATGATCTGTGTACTTCGGTTTGGACTTACAGGGCAGGAGTCTGCTGTCCCCTGATGTCGGTGCAGTTGGATATCTTCAGCGGTTTCGACAAATGTGTTGTCCCAAGTCTAATCTTAACTGTGACTGGCAGGCCTGTAATACAGTAATACAATGAATGTTGGAGTCTTGGTCATCCTTTTCAGCAACACACATATATTGTATGCAATGTCACAATATGTATGTACAACACAGATTTGTCAACTAATAATAATAATGATAATAATAAATGTTATTTACTGAGCGCTTTTCATGGTACTCAAAGACACATAAATTATAACTGGTAGAGAAATGTTATCATGATTCTTGGGACACTGTGAAGGGCCTTGATTGTATTTAATTCACTGGCTTGTATTATTTATAAGAAGTCACTCACCTTCAGCAGGAAGTGTGCTATTTTTAAGGATGCAGGTGCATCGAGGGAACTGTGGACGACGGTTTTCCGTGTCACAAAGCTCACCGGAATTTGCAGAGAACTGACAGGCAAAGTTAGACAGAGCATTCAGGCCCACAGTGGCGTGTGTCTGGATGATAACAGTGATCTGAGAAAGGAATGGATGTGAGTGATTAAAAGAGAAAAAACTGTAAGTCACAACTGATTACAGTTAAAAGCTTGTATGTAATCTGTACCTGCCCAGTGCTGTCCTTTACAACTTTATATGAAACCATTGTCTGTTGAGAATCATCAGGAATGGATAACCAGTCTGAATCTTGGCATTCGTCTTCAAATGTGCAACTAGGAAGAGAAAATGATGTTTTAACCAAGTTTATAATTGTTAGAAGGTGTCAGCTGCAGATGTTGTTTCCCTGACCTTCTTTTAGAGCCGCACCAGACACAGTATGGATCCTGTGCAGACCAACAGTCCTGCACATTTCTGTATGTGCTGCACTTTGACACAGGTACACGCTTCATCTGGAACAAAACACAAACATGCTGAAATAAAAGTAAAATCTGAACAATTTAATTTATTATCAGTCTCCCAGTGTTCACCACAGCTTCACATGTGATTCATGCACAAGGGACCTACCTGGTTTTTAAATGGCACGTACACATGTTTATGATCCACCTGGTCCAGCTGCATTTTGGGAAACACTTGGCGATCGTCATTGGCCCTGTAGAGCACTCTGGGACAGGTGGTGTGATAGTTCTTATCCACAGCAAGCTGACAACAAGAAAGTAAATGTGTTATTTGTAATGTTTCTGTGAGACTAAGCTGCTCTGTTGGTAGAATCAAAGGTTGTGGTTAAATGGGTGGAAATGCTAACAGGAAAAGCTGTAGAGAGGGAACTACTCTGGTCAAAATATAAAAAATGTTGTCACCCATTTAAAGACAGTGGCAATAATGTTGGAAGGGCAGCGGGCTACCTGTAACCTGGAAGGTCAGCTTGCCTGATCAGGTCATCAATATAATTTTGGATGGTAGGCTTCTGACAAATAATGCCAATATTCCAAAAGCATATATATTATATTATATATAACAGTATAGTATACCTGTACAGACAAAATAATGGGAAAATGATGTGCAGCTGCAATCAATGGCTGTGGTAATTTTATTGAGGTAGAGTTACATTACAGGTTTAGGCATATCTTAGAGATCGAGCCACTAGATAATGACACTTTTCAAATGGAGCAGGTCTAGACCGAACTCCTTATAACAATGAACTGTGTAGTTGTTGCTACTGTTGTTGCTGTGCACCTCTGTCTCTGTCCTTCTGTTGTTACCCCTGTTCTCTCTCTCTCTCTCTCTGCTTCTCTCTCTCTCTCACCCCAACTTGTCAAGGCAGACGACCACCCACCTAGAGCCGAAGGGTCTGTCCTAGGTTTTCTGCCTCTTAAAAGGAAGTTTTTCCTTGCCGCTGTCGCCAAGTGCTTGCTCATGGTGGGAACTGTTGGGTCTCCGTAAATAATTTTATAAGGGGTACCGTCTAGACCTGCTTTATTTTAAAAGTGTCCTGAGATAACTTCTGTTATGAATTGGCGCTATACAAATAAAATGGAATTGAATTGAATTCTTAAATTATGGCTAATCTCTTCGCGGTCACAATGGGCAAAAGTGTCAATTCAGTGTCCGATCACTGCCGATCTTATGTGGTTGAAAAATGACCAGGACATTATGATCAACACAGTGAACAGCTGACCTTGGACCATTTGGATAAAAAATATCATCACTTCATTGTATCCCATTAAACATCTTGATTGATCATCTTCAAATTCGAAATTCCCTAAAGATGTTCCTGAGATACGGGACTTACAAGAATGGGACGGACGTATGAACAACCCCACGGCTATCACCAGCATGGAGGAAATATGAAGTATGCTGAGTTTCATCATGTCACGTCCTCTGCATTGCCTCACTTTAACATCACACAGGATGTACTGCAACTCTATTGAGTGCTACTTAGGGTAAATGTTAAAGCAGAAGTGACATGGTGATGCCTATAGTGTCTCATTCAGCCTCAGACTCACTAGTGTATGTTTTCTGGAGCTGTTTTTGCCAGCTTGAGCTTGTTGCCAGCTGTCTGTGGTGTTTGACTTGCATCTTGCCTCAGTGCCAGATTGAGCTTAACCCTACCTTCCCTCTCAGAGTGCCTGCATTAGTGCCCTGCTTCTGGAAAACTGTGCCAGATGTTGGCTGAGTGTGATTGGGGTCAATAATTGTCTTTCTGCCAATATGTTTCGATATTGGACTTTATCCTCTCAACCCTGTAAATGCCCATACTACAGTGAACCTACTCTTCAACCATGTGATTTTTAACATTAGATTAAGAATTAAGAGTAATATGAGTGTGATGATGATTATGGCGATCTCGTTTTTGTTAATTTTTGTTTAAGGACTATACTTGGACATAATTTAAAAGGACCAATGTAAAGAAATCACAGTGGCTGCACAACCTCTAACGCAAGATAAACGCTAATGGCCTATGAAGAGTCAGTTTGTCCCTTCTGGGCTACTGTAGAAACATGATGGGCTCCATAGTAGGCAACCTGTGCTGTCTATAGATTCATTCTAAGGGAACAAAAACTTCAGGTGATTATACACAAAAAAAATACTACTTATTACATATCTGCCAAATTATCCTCCTAAATGTTACACAATGGACCTTTAGGAAAATGAGAATAATCATATATAAAACATATAAACAAATGATGCTAAACAAACAGAATTTGGTATGTGTAATACTTGACCACAAACAATTAAACGCTCACAACCAATAGCTTGCATAGGTTTCTATGTGTGATCCAGTTAATTATAGGTCTCCACCTCGCCCACAGCTACAGCATCTCACTGTCATTGTACAAGTGGTTTCCACATTTTGCAAAATATTTTCTACGAGCTTTCAGCTGTCTTCCCTTGTGTATGTATTACATTTGCTAGTGATGCAATAGAAAACCCATTCCTCTCTGCTCTCTCCTTCTGCATAGCAGTATGAAATACACTTAGTGGTTCTATGAATACTGCAATTTACACAACTGAGTATGAACTCAGAGTTAACTGAGCAAGATAGAGCCTATTCTGTCAAGCAGAGAGTTGCTGTGGAGTGTTCAGAAGACTTCAGTTCAATTCTGAGCATGTGCAAAGCATGTAGAATATGGGTCTCTGCAGAGTATCAACTGTTGTATCAAGGAGATGGGAAGAAGACAGAGTATGATTTGATGGCAGAGGAATAAACAAAGGGGGTGACAGGAAGTATGAAGGTATGAAGTTGTAATGGAAGCACTTTAGAGCATCTTCCCTCCCAACATAAAATAAACACTTGCTTAGGAAAGAAATGCCGTTCAATTTTACAAACTGATTCTGAGTAAATGTATATATATTTTCCAATAACAGACGGCTATCACTTTATACACACCTTAATGAGCTGCCCGTCTCCCGTCCCGATGAAGAAAACCACCCAGGCCTTCTGTCTCACTGCCAGCACAGAGGTCATGTAGTTCTGCCTGAAGAGCACCTTCTTCGGTTTCAGTGTCTTTGGCTGAGAAACAAACACACTGATGATCAGCTTTGGATCCAATGGACCCTACATGTGATAAAAGCAAGCAATCTCCTCCAAGTCTATCACATATGTTCTGGACATGTCCAAGACTTCATCATTTCTGTTTCTCAGACTTTGAGGGGTGGTAGAAATAAGCTGATTTAATCACAAACAATCCCATATCAGTAATTGCTTGGAAAAGCCCCCAAATGAAGATATTTGAACACAAAACATTACACTATTAGTTAAATATTGAATAGAAAAATACATGCACACATTGACAGTCTTCATGATACTCTGCTCTCCTCACTGCAGTCGTGTGTAAAAGTGCAGTGTACCTCTGTTGAAAAGAGAAGTGCTGAAAACTTTAAGGCAATTTTCCAAATAAGTCTTTTTTCACTGAATTTAAACTTAACTTAATCACTTGATCTAAATTGTGGCCATAACAGACCATTACAATATATGTGTTAATTTCTGTTATTTAAGAAGTTATTAAATCTAAATAAATGTGTTGAATTTGACAGTATTTAACACCAAACTGAGGTGGAAAGACATTTATTTATTTGTTGCCCTGTAGGTCCACTCCTGGACTTCAACAAGTGTGTAAAATGACTGACTTTAATTTAGTGGAGCAGGTCTGGTGGGTGAATATTTAGGATCAGATTAGACACAGTGGGCTGTTTGTAAAAATGTGAAAATCTGCAATAAAAAGACCAGGTGAATTCCTGAAGAGAAGAGCTTTGAAGTATTGAGGGTACTTGAAATAGTCTATTGTGACTAATAGCTCAATTGACTACATTACTAGGTCATCAAGTGTACATAAAGTGAGTCATAGCATGGCGAACTAGAACCATGTAGGTGAGTGTGCTGTTACAGTAAGTGACATTTGAATTGTTTTGTCACCACCTTTATAAACAGCCAACTATAGCTTCATAAACTGACCTCTCACCTTTAAAGACTTTTTTGGACTACAGTGTTGCTTTGATTGTGCAGTTAGCCAAGCATCGGTCAGAAAAACCTAGTTCCTTCCTCCTCCACCTGGAAAACTCCTTATGATTGTGTTCATTTACATTGCTGAGGAGATGTGTAGAAACAGAACTGGGAAAACCTTTAATCAAGTAATTTAATAATGTAAGATTTCTTCTAAAATAAGTTCCCTTGAATTATTTTTCTACCTTGTTAAATTTGCTTGTGCATATTTCAATCTAGAAGCACTAATATTAAAAATAATATTATTGCTATAGTCGGTAAAATGCTCATCAACATTATGTAAAAATAGTTAATATTAAATGTTTCTGTACTGAATCCTAACATCAGACTGTAAGAGGAAGTCAGTGAAATATTGGACAGCTTATAGTTTAACTTTGTTGATACCACAGGATAAAGAAATTAAATCAGAGATTAAACTGCTGTAACAAATGGAAACAACATCCAATCACTTAAAAACGACCCACCGTCTGTTTTGACTTATCAGATTTACAGGAACTGCAGAAGTCCGGATCTACATCGGGGTCTCCGGTGAGATCAGGGCTGATGTCAAACACTACCAGCTCGGTGTTGGTTTGTCCTCCGTCCGCACTGAACACGCCGCTCCAGAGCACCGGCGGCCCACCCGGGATCACCGAGGAGGCCAGGAGTCTGCTGTCTGACTCAGCACCACCAGAGATACTGAGAGTCGCGCCCCGCAGAGACTTTACAGTCTGGGTTTTGTCGGTTTTGCCCTCGAGCCAAATGAGACGGACTTTGTTGCGTTTGTCCTTCGAGGGCACGTTAGAGAAAAGATAGATTGTTGAACTGATCTGAAATCCATCCACAAACTCCACACTGCCTTCATGTTTGATCGCAGCATTGTCTAACTCTCCAAGAGAGGAAAATATCCCTCCATTCTGACCGTTATTGGTATTATAAACGTTCACCGTGTCTGATTCAATGGAGCATTTGGTCTTTGTGGATTTGCCTTCGTATTGCTGTATGGCAGCCAGAATGTAAGTGTCGGTCTTGGTCCGGGTCTCCACATTCACCAGAAAGCTGACGGACGCGCTGCTGTGCCATGGGGGCCCCACCTGGACGTGCTCCTTGTACCGCACATTAGAAATGTCCTTCAGGTCCAGCAGCTCGCAGTAACCGCACTCTTCGGTCATACCGCAGCTGATCAGACTGTCATCCTCAACAAACGGTAATAATATGTTGACACTGAAAGTTGCGTTCCACTTCTCCGTCTCAGAAACCCGGTCAAACTTCGAGTACTCCACCTGTTCCGCAATCACAAAGATTCCTCTCTGGGTCAGACTCCGGACCAGGGTCAGGTCGTGGTTCAGCTGGTACAGCTTCTCCTCTGTAGCGATGTAAACCGTGTTGTTGGACACAGCGAATTGGCGGATGTCTCCGTTAAATTCAAAGCCTCCGCCCTCTTCCAGGCACCGAGCCGGTTCTCCCCAGAGAATGAACAACAGACCAGGCAGCAGGATCATCTTCTAGCGGTGGCAGCAAAACGCTCACACATCGACGGTCTTCATGGCACTCTGCTCTCCTCCACAGTGTCACTGGAGTCGTGCGTAAAAGCGCAGTGCGCCTCTGTTGAAAGACGGAGTGCTGAAAGTGGGAGGGAGCGAAAGCGAAAACTAACAGACGGTTTCATTCGTTCTCAGATGTGTTCCGCACTTTAACCATGTTTAAAACAAAGTCTATACAGTTTTAGAATAACCACAGAACCTGCATGCAGTGATGTGTGTGTGCGCTCCTGAACAAACTCCAGAGGATGACAGTCTGTCTCCCTACTTCCCTCAACAAATTGGACATTGGACCGTACATGGTGTGAAGTGGGTTGATATGATGATCTTTACACGGTGTAATGCGCTTCAATACTTGTTTTATCTCGTGGTGAAGCAGAGGGGATGTCCACTGACCCCTCCACTCCAACATTATCAGGTGAGCAGCATTTCCAACTGCATCATGCATCGTTGTACATGTTCAAACTACAGTACAGTAAAGATGATATCCAGTGACTCCTGGATGACATCTAGTGTCAGCTTTGAGAAGTTCTTCTAGTCGTCATTGGGAAAACAAACCACTCCATCACTCACTCTTCCCCGTAAACAAAGCCATGAAAGACACTATTCTGGACTTACAAGCATAGATGGACAGTTGTACTGAGACATCAGTCAACAAACAGCTCAGCAACAACTGGTAATGTTTATGGCCCAAACAGATGACCCATCCATTTTTCATATTTCTTCCCCCTCCATCTCAACACTTCCAGTGGCTCAGTCATAATAGGAGTCAAGGTATGGACCCACCAAACTAACATTTCAAGCACAGTAGTGAAACAGTAGGGTAAACACAGGCGTTACCATTGATACTAATTAAGGTTCTGTTGCATTCAGGTCAAACAGAGTCAGGGTGCTGCTGTTGTCCATGTTGGCTCACTGGAAAGGCTCTGCTACACTAAATGGAACAGAACCTTAATTAGTATTATTGGCAACACCTGTGATTACCCTACTAGTAACCTGTTAGGAATACGACATAAACAAAATCACAATTCAAATAAAAGCCCACACTAATAAAAATGTCCCACCACAAACCATAGGACCATCTAAAGGTAGTCAACTCCCAGCACCCCAACCACACCAGTGACTGGAGGCCACCACCAGCCTCAGCACTAGAAACAGAGAGAAGAGATTAAAACCCTGAACTATACCAAATCAATTCTACACACAAACAATAAAAACATAAACATGGACTAATGATGAATTAATACTTCAATAAATGCCAGTCAGTATTCTGACTGTAAAGAAAACAGAGCACCTCTCCACATTTTCTGTGAGCTAAAGATTAAAGTAAAGCTAAATTAAAACATTACCTCTGCAGCTGCTGACAGTCATTTCCTTTCAGCTTTTCTATGTACAGTAAAAGTTATGGCAGACCCACAGTGTTATTATTAAAATACAGAAGTTTGTTAGCACCGACCTGTCGGCTTTCTTTGATCTGTGAGCAGTGATGTGACGCAGTTTTTATTTCTTCACTTGCTCGATGTTTCAGCTCGTTTGTTGTTCGTTTTTAATCCTTTTAAAGTTACATTGTAGCACTGGTAAATATTTCTATTTCACATTTGTTCCAAGAAGTCGTACTTTAATTATTTGTACTATATGGGTGGTTATTTATGTTCATTGTCTACATACAGCAGCCTCTATCTGCCTGTACAGTCATTAAAAAAGAAGCTATTAAGCCATTCTCCTATCTGGACTCTCTAACTGGATTCACATCTAACCTATCTATCATTTTAAAGACACACATTTTTACTTAAACCAAACCACCTTACAACTGACCATCAATCAAATGCCACTGTTGAAGTTTCTTAATGTATAAATTATCTGGAGAAAGTTTGACTGCAGTTAAAATTGTTCGATACAATAAAACCATCAAGTCATCTTGTGTTGTAGTTGAGGAACCCAAGTCTCATTTGTTGTATCTAATACATGTAAAATCTTAATTTTGTTAGTGCGTTAACCTTCTGATGCACCCAAGCACATTTTTGTGTTTCTGACTTTTAATTTCTAGCATATTTGATCCCTTTTTCATGCATATTGATGATGAATCATGCAAGGTTGTGCCAATTCTTTTCATGTATTTTTTATTTTTAGCCTATTGTAAGGAGTTCCGCCTGCTAACTTCTGTTATGAATTGGTGCTATACAAATGAAATTGAATTGAATTGAATTAAACAACGTGGACTGAAATAGAGCTGTTAACGTCCCTTCGCTCAAAAATATGTAGATTGAAAACCATTCAAATCACTATTTTTGATTACCTTCCCGATGGTGATGATGAAAAAAATAAGTACAAAAAAACTAAAAATAATAATATATAACATTTTTATAGCTTGAGTTTTTTACCTTAACGTGATTATTTGACATTGATCAAAAAATAATAATGCATATAAATAAACGTTGCTGCTAATATTTCACATATACCAGGCTGCAATATTCAAACCATCAATAATCCAGTTTGCATGAAGTATATTGGAAATAAATCATTTTTTATGTGTTTTAGACCATGAGAACTTCAGCTGTTTTGGGTGTGTGCTGTGGTGGTGAGATTTTGCAGCACATCAGCCGTACACACTGTGCTGATTACAGTAAGGAAGAGTAGGCTATGTAAGCTATGGTGAAGGTCTTCTCTCCTGTGAGGGTCCCCGTGGCTCCCAGAATATCTGCCAAATGGCTGAGATGCTGAACAGCACTCAGTCTCACTGCAGCTCTATGGTAGCTGGCTCAGGCCTAAATTCAGCAGGGTTTTCATTATATAACCGGGCTGCAGTTCAGCACCGTGTCTTTGGCCAGACTGGCCTGCTGCTGGATGAAGCTGTTGGACAAAGACACTAGCTGTGTCATTAGAAAGGATTCAAACTGTTTGACACTTTGACTCAGTAGAAAAACGACTTTATTACAAAACTTAAATTTCACTCTGATATATTGACTATTAATCTATATACTATATATTAATTGTCCTCACACCCATAATAGGAAAACTACACTGGCTAATGCTACATTCTCAAGTCTGTAGGTGAACATGAAGCAACAGCCAGCAGCCTGTTAGCTTAGCTTAGCATAAAGAATGGAAACAGATACAACTAGCCTGGTTCTGCTGGTAACAAAATCCACCTACCAACGCCTCTAAAGCTTCTTTGTACCTTTATGTTTCATTAGTACAACAATGAAATGAACAAACACACAGGATCTATTAACAGTAACAGAGGAGGGACCAATAACAATATAATTACCATAAAAACAGTAATCGTAATAAGATACAATAACTGAGACAACGTTCAGAGATACTTGCAGGATACTGTACAATCTCAGAACTAAACACTGCAGAAGTCCTCTTACACTCACTGTATGCTTAAGATTTTTTACATAATATTGAGACCAAAGAGAGAACTTTACTCCAGTGACCCACAGGTGAATAATTGGGTCTCAGTGCAGAAAATGAACCTGAGGCATTATGTCCATCTTGATAAAAGAGTTGCCCAAAGTTTTCCAGGTTTGACCTAATGGTCAGATCTTGTTCATCTCAGCAGTGAACTTCTTTTGCCATCGACAGATAATCACCAACACTGAAAGACAAACAGTTATTGATTTAAACTGAACAGACAGACAAACAGAACTCAATCCATAAATTGTTCATTAAAAAGGTCAAAATTCATTCTAGTTCAGGTTTTCACACAAACAGCCTTTGATTGCATTGATGCAATACATACAGATTTTACTGTATATATCAGAGAGCGACGACACTGACTGGACTGAAATCCAGTCAACTTAGTGTACTTACCAACAGGAATACAGGGTATCAGCAGAATGCGCAGTATCAGAAGGATCTGATGTAATAAAGATGGAGGCCCTAGTCTCACCGTCTTGTCACCATATTTTATCTGGAAAACAAATACAACACTGCTATTAAAACAGGAATTTTACAGTGGGACATCTCACCAGAACACTGGGTCAAAAATATTCTGAGGGCTTGGTGCTATGACCCACCTTCATCCTGCCTACAATCTCAATAAACTAAGTTGTATTTGTGTATTGTATTGTCTAGATTGGTGAAGATGAAATAAAAGATTTACTGTTAAGTGCTGAAACTCAACGTCAGGTGTCCCTTGAATCTCACAGATAAAGAAGTCAGTCTCGTTACTGTTTTTTTTGGCTTCCATGATGCAGGGGAATTGTTCATTTTCCTGAACGCCCCACACTGACAACTCTCCCAATGTCATCTCCAGTTTGTCTGCCTTTTTCTGCTATAACAGAAACACATACTGATGTTTTATGCATTCATGTTCTACTTTTGTGTATCTGTGATAAAAATATACATTACCTCTATGGTGATGCGCACATCGTCTCCTGTCCGGGTAGATGTGAAGCTGGTGAACTCAGGGTCTGGGTAGTAGGTTATTGTTGTGGAGCAGTCCAACGTTTCATTGGCTACTTTCAGAAACACACTGCTTGTAAAACTCTCTCGATAATTTCCAGCTGCCGGTGTGTCATAGATCAGATTCTGTTGTGAATTAAAAAAAAAATATTGTGATATGTGTGAAAATCTGTGTATGGAGTAACATGGTGATGATGGTGACGTACTATTTATGTCAGTACTTTAGCATAACTAAAAAGGCCACATCATAGCATGGCATCACATGTAATAAAACAAAGTGTGACATTATACATGGTTCACTCTGAATGTTTATGCATGTGTATATAGACACAAGTAACAATAATGCAATATAATGTATTGAAAAATACTTAATGTAATGTTACATAACATAATGCTAGAAGATTACATGGGATGATGTGACATAACATAGTCTAATTTGATCTAATATCAGTATTGTGATATAATGTGTCAGTAATGCAGCATGATATGATGTGATGTGACATAATTAATGTAAGATAACAATACAATGGGACATTGTGCATGTCTACAGACCCACCTGAGAGGTGTTGTTTCTGGGAAGTCTGACCTCATGCAGGGCGTGGCTGTGTAAGACCCCTTCCACAAACTCCAGGTGGGATCCAATGAGTGTGATCTTCCTCTTCCCACTACAGGACACAGAGCAGCAGCCAATCAGAGAAGTGGAAATATAATACACATTCCATACCAGAGAAAACCTTTCCTTAAACATGACACATCTAGGGTCACCTACATATGAGTCTAAATCTCTTGGTGGCCCCTGGAAACTTCAATGGTCAGTCTCTCGTTCAGACTCAACACTCAAGAATCTTGCCCAATACAAAAAACAAAATCTCTGTTGAATGTAGTTCCCTTAGACTGTGGAAAACAGTAAAGATTGTTCCTGGATATAAACACGTCAACATCCACAACTTTAACACACATCATTGCCGGACAAGAGATGAAAATGATCGTGTCCACCTGGGTGTCATGTTTCCATCACTGCCAATCAGAGTCAATGAATGACGACTGTACCCGTTCCCACTGAAGAAAAAAGCCAGATGCTAATTAAGTGTTAGTGGGTTGTGTGGAAATAATGTGTGTAGGCTTTAGAAAAAAAGGTTGGGAAGTCCCCAAAATCATTAGGATTTATCCACAGGGGATCCTCAACAGATTTAATAGAGATCAGCCACTGGTTTTCACTATGTCATTTAGAAGTCACATTTTGGTCTGGGGTAGCACAAGAGGAAAGCTCATGTAGTAAAAGTAAGGGAGTCATTAAAATCTTTAGGAATCATCCTGAGGATTGTGAATATCCATAAATGTCTTGACGACTCCTTCAAGAACTTGTCACAACCAGGAGCATGGCCCTAGGATAATGATGTTCAGACTACATGCACGTTATAAAACTTAAAGTATCTCGACTGTTATGTTGTTTAAGACTGGTGCTTGTTGAGGTGCAAAAACAGAAGTGACAGGAAACTGAAAAGGGAAGTAGTCTTATCGCAAAAGACATTTCATTTTTGGAAGAGGTCATCTTTAACCTGACATGACCGTGAACCTGTAACTCGAGGAAAGAGACTTCTGATGAAGTTTGTGTCTGCACACTGCACTGTACTAGTACTAATAAAGACACACAGTGCCAGAGAAACAGCCTGTTACCTCTTTAACAAACACCTGCACATGAATAACAACCTGCATAATAGTGATGAGTAGATCGCAGTTAAAACTCATTAATAGCAGATGGATTGAGGGTGGGTGGAGGATGAAGTTTCTCCCCATTAAGAGAGACGCTGTGCGCATTTATGCACGAGGCACAGCAACAGACGTTCATTAATTATTTAAACCACAGACACACCGACAAGATAGTCGGGATCTAATATAATGAATGTTCTGTGTTCTTCTACACATCCAGATCGTCACACACAGTCCAGGTCCATATAGAGAAACAGTTTGGAGTAAAGTCCTCCTCCTGACAAATTCTCTGATTCCTCTGGAGAGTTTCTTTGTCCTGTCAACTTTATAATGACAGTTCTTATTTTTGCTGCTCAACGATATTTGCTGCAGTGACATTACTGCACACATCAAAACATCTAAAATGCCTCTGTAATCATTAATTTCCAGTGTTCACAGCACAGTCATATTCTAAATTCATTATTAAATAATCTGGAATATGACTGTGTTGTGAACACTGGAAATTATGCCTATATTATTATTAGGCTAAATGTTCAAAGGCAACATTGAAATATATAATACATATCAAACCCAACTCAGGAATGATTAGCCTCATGTGACTGAATAGAAATGATGTAAAAAGTATTTCTGGTCTGTAAGTTGGTGGCTCAGAACAACTTCCAGTTCAAGCAAGAATAGAACAGATTACAGGGGCCCAAGTGTACCACAAATTTATGCAGAGGTGGCATCGAGTCTGTGCACACACCAACAAAATGTAAATAAACAAGCCTGTGGACGAAATATTGTATTGACAAAATTGTGCAAAACTTCAAATCTACAAAACAAATTTCTTTACAGAACATATGCTACAGTGAAATTTCACAAAAGGCATCACAGCCCAAGATGCATTTGTCAACCACATTTAAAAATATTTAAATTAACCTTTTCTTGTGTTGGCTCACAAACACTTTTATAAAGTTTGAAAACCTTTTACCAACAAACGTCCAGTTTTAATCATCAAACAGCTGGTTTGAACTAAGGTTACAGGTCTGACCGGGCAGATAGCCACTCATAGTTTAGGATAATGGGGTGGCACCTGGTATGGCCAGTTTCAGGGAGGGCCCACGCCACCCCCTGGATACACCCCTGCTTTTTCCATCAAAAACTGTATTTGTTAATTTGTTTTGGGAAAAAAGAAATGCCAACAAATTCAGTCATACCTGATCCAGGTGCTGCTGGGTGTGATGTTGGTGCAGGAAGGTAAGGACCGGTAGGTGATTTTAGCAGTGCCATGGCAACTACCGTCTGGGAGGACAACACATACTAAGACCACGCCTTTATTATCCATCCTGGGAATGTGGAACGTCAGATCCACACCAGTGTTGCTCCACACAGGAGATCTGACCAAAGCACACAGAATAAAAGAGAGAGAAAAACCGGATAGTCTCACTGAGATCAAGACTCACTTACTCACTTTTTTGTGTCGGTAAGTTTTTACATCATAATAACAATAACATGTAGAAAACCTGAAAGCAGCCAGAAGCATAGCAGCAAACACATTAAACATCATTTTAAACTCACGAGATGTTGTTTCATAAGCTTAACACATAATTCTACTGCCATTACAACATATCCCAACACAAGAAATATAAAAAGGATACAGCAGAATCAGCTTCATTCATCTATTAAACGATGCAGACAAACAAAGGTGTATGCTTTTGACTTTAAAGAAAATGCCACACATTTCAATTTTGAGGCTTTCCTAATCTAAAAACTGGGCACCTGATAAATCTGCCATTTTTCTATTGACAATGACTGAGTTTGGGTCCCTGTTCCAATCCAGTCTCCAGCTTTAGGAAACAGCAGTACATGAAGTACTGGACAGTTTATGTCAATTCATAATATGGGTGGAATTCCTAGTAATAATCTCCATCTCTGAAATGTCATTTATAGTGTAAGCAGATTCTTAGTCGTCCATAAACTGACTCACTCTTGTGGCGTGCAGTCCATGTCTGCCTGGATCCTCACTCTGGTCACGCCAGCGAGGTTACGACCAGACAACATCGCATAGTTTCTGCCGTAGAAAGACACGACACTGGGAGAGATTGAGGAGATCTCTGGTCTCTGACAGTAAAACACACACAAAGATAATCAGTTTTAATGTATTACCTTCTACTGATGTTTTAATCTCTATTGACTGTGAATGAGGAGCATCAGAGGAAGAATATATGTGACAACTGAGGTTCAGACTCACAGAGAAGTTCATCCCCGACTCCTCCGTTTGACAAACACTGTCCTGCAGGAGGAAGCGAGGTGAAGACATTAAGCAGGTTGACATTACATCCAC